ACTGCTGACAGTCTAATCGTGGGGCCCCTTGGAAAAAAAGAAAAAAAAATTTTTTGCTTAAAAGCAATCTTTTTATTTGTCTATAAAGCAATTATATAAAATTTAAATCATTTTTATATTGAAGTAGCCTGTCCTCACAGAGGATATAATATACAAAGCTGTCTTCTTCAGATTTTGATCATTTTCTCTCCTATTTAAATCAGAATTTAATATACTCCTTTTCAGAAGTAAATGAGGTAGCTAGTAATAGAAGCACCAGCTTTCTTTACTAGTTCTTCTAGAGTATGGAAAAGGAATTTTTATCCATCTAAAGGGCAGACACTTCTCCCCTTTTCCCTCCAGTACAAAAGCTACGTATTATTGTAGGCATATCTAAAAATCAAATTCTACGGGGAAACATAACTTCTAAGGCAAGCCAGAATTTAGCACACTATATTCTTACGTATATTTTGTCAATTTGGTCAAAAACTTTGCCCTCCTCTTTCTCCTCCCCTCTCCCTACAAGGGAGGGAAAAGAAAATAGTTGTGAACCATAAGAAAGGACAAAAAAAATATAGAACATTTTACTCAGTAGATTTACTTATTCTAAGAAAATGAAAGTCTAAATCCTTGTCTTACACATGCGTACTTCTGCAGATTCAGAACAGTTGCATTCAATAGTTACGCAGGAGTTTGGTCAATGCTACTAAACAGACAAGTACATTAATACAACTTCTGCCCTTCGTGCTATTAATTCTTATTCGATATTTGCCTGAGCTCATGATTTCTCAAATATTTTAACTCAATTTGTCAGATTACGCTACAAAGCTCAGTAATTGTTTCATTCCTTTAAAAGCACTCGCTTTCTCCTAACACTCCACAGTACGAAGACTATCAAGATGTATACCTCTATCTAAAACAGAGCAGCAGCAAAAAAAAAAAAAAAATTAAATAAAGAAATGGGTGCTCATTAAATACTAACATTTGAAGTGGACAACGGAGAAAGGGCTCCCTCTTCAACAGAAGAGCAGCAGCTTAATGCTGCAAGATCTCTTTCCCCTTCCACAGTTAAGTATTAATCAATTTGTTCCTTAGTTTCAATTACAATAGCTTATTTAAAATAACACTATGGCAAGATGTAGTCTGCATTAGTACATTTTGAACTAACCGCGCAAGCGTCTCCTCTTGAATTAACAAAATTCCACTTTTACAAAGGGCTGCAGATACTGATACTGGTTAGGCCGAAGGACTAAAACACAAACAAATCAACCCGCTCTACTCTAACTCTACTTTAACTACTTAAAATGATAAAATCCCTGGACTATGTTGACTGGACTACGTAGAGCAGCCATGTCTTGACCACTATGCATTTGTGCCAGAAATAACAATATTCTGTCTAGAGAGGAATCTTATTATTAACAATATCACAGTCCACCAGCAGAACTCCCAATTACACTGCAGAAACAGTGCATAGCTGAGACAGGATTGAGTTTTGTATTTACAGGAAAAAAAAAAAAAATCACATCACTTTTCGTGTGAGGAATGCAGCATAACTCCTCCAAAATTATAGCTGTAAAAGCTGTCCTAGAAAAATCACACATCCATCAACATGCCTAAAAGTTACATTTCACTTAAAAATAATAGTCTGAAGAAATTATCTCATGGCAGTAACTGCAGAATTATCTGGCTCTACTCTGTCTATACAGTTGAAACTCAACTAAATATAACATAGAAGCAATACTCACATTTATTTTGGACTTGAGAGTGTTTTTGAGGCAAACACAAAAAGAACAACCATTTTCTAAAATGGCTACAATTAGCTAATTTCCCAATGGAGCTGAAATCTTGGGCTTCTCTTGGCAAACATGACTAAGACACTACATTCCTTCCCTTCCTTTGCCACCTAAAACCACACAGAGCTACCTTCCTGCCCCCAGCAGCTTAGGGCAATGGGAAATTGTGGGCATTCTGAAGAAAGAGGCCTCTTGTCAACCTAGGGTAAACACAGGGCAGCGGGGGAAGAGCTACCATATAAAGTTTAACCACGGAATGTAGTTTTACATTTTGCTGTTACTTGTCTTAAACTACAAAAACCATAGGTAGTATTTTCTTTGAATTTGTCTCATAAAATCCAAATCTATTAAATCTGAGAATGATGAATTTATTTGAGGAAGTGTTTTCCAATCACTTGGAATACTATTTATAATGAATGTTTGGATTAGATCTTTTATGTGGTGGCATAGAACAAACAACAAGAAATTTGTAGCCAGTTTCAACATAAATGCTATTAATCCATAAAATTCTCACCGCTGTGATGAAATGTAATATAAATTTTGTCTGAATGTGGAAACGCTCCCAAGAAACTGCTGTTACGACTTGCATGGATACCAAAAATGAGTTACAATATGGCTCAAGAACAGTCACCAAGATAAACTCTTGAATTCTGTAATTCCGTAATTTACAGCCAACTATAAGACCATCCCATCCTGAGTGTCCTAGTTATGGAAACAGTACCTCCATCATCTCAAAGTCTAATCAGTACAACGAGTAACCTTTAGAAAGCAATCAATGAACAAAATGCTGATGGTGTGGTCTGATGATAGCCTGTTCTGGGGAAGTACCTCTCCACAAAAATAACCATGCCAAACTTAAATGACATAAGTCATTACTCTCTTTACGTGTAACAGAAAACATAAGCCATTCCAAACACTCATGTAATTCACCCAGGCAACTCTGACCTCTAGAAAAACGAAACTTGTGTACCCAAAAGCTGAAGTTTTTCCACAACTCTGTTCAAGGCTATGGAACCATTAATTGCCTGCTATCCCAGATGCAGGCCAGATTAGATTAATATGTCTCTACTAACACACAAATTTAGCACGATGAATACTAATCCTCCTCACTCCATGGCAATCACAAACCACTTATCATAAACTGTAGTCTCACTTTCTGTTTCTTTTTCTGGAAAATGTTCATTCACCATAATGCGACAACTAGAATAGAATAAAAACCCTAATTCAGCCCGTCTCTGGAAGCTATATTAGTCCAGCCAGAAATGGCTGCATTTTACTACTTTGAAAGAAGATTTTGCACTGTGGAAGAACTCTAAAATGACTGCAGAAATACTAATTTTATACAGTTAGAGTTGTCAAGTTATCAGTGGTTGGACATTATGTAAAGAACCTCTCCTTACAGATACTGGAACAAAAACTATGTGGCAAAGTCAGAATGATTTTGTGATGAAAAGAAATAAATTCACCCAATTCTACATACATAATACAGCATTTAATGATCTGTCTTGCAAACCACAGAAAGGATTCGTCTTATCTGAAAATTATTGAACATGACCTTAATTCACACGTAGAACAAATTTTTAAAAACAAGAAATGGAAGGAGAGAATTAAACAAACAAACAAAAAACAGTTAAATGATGGGGACCCAGAAGTTCAGTAACTTCAATTTTTTATCTTTATTCGCAACAGAAAGGTGAGGACTTGGAACTCACTCATGAGATTTCATCCTGCTCAGAAGCTAACTGTGGAAACAAGAGAGTTACCAGGTAGGCTGTAGGCATTCTGATCTCAAGGAGCAGGAACGAAAAGGTCAGTGTTTGACTAACGTACCTTTGGGAAGAGAAGGCTTTCACATCAGCTACCATTTACTGAATTTCTATATTCTTTGATTTCCAACTTATCCATGTCTATTATCATGTAAAAGGCCATAAAAAAGGAGAAAGGCTACCAGACTTCAGCATCCTCCAAAATTAGGCCAAATATCAGCAATCATGAGCAATCACTGTTGTTGACCTTAAATGGCTAACACTGGTTTCACTAGTACCTTGATCAGACAGCCAGGTAGCCCTACTGATCTTTTTTCTGAGGGGAAAGTAGAGATACAAATACGCAGATAAGTGCATGAATTTATTTCAAAAAATCACACAGAAAAGTGGTTAAATGAACAATATGTAGAAGCACCTTTGTTTCTATTCACAGACGATTCTTTACCACTGCAGCCTTACAAAACTAACCAGCACCACCGTACAGTCTACAGTTTATGAAGGTTATCTGCCGGGTACATTTTCTGGATATGAATATGTTAATTATTAACTTACTCTCTTAACCTACGCTTCAAATGTATTACAGAAAGATGAGTAATACCACAAAACTCCTGCTTCAACTGAGATTTTTCCCTCCCTTTGTTATTGTTGCAGGGATGAGAGGCAGAGACTTCAGATGTAGACATAATAAACAGAGATTACATTCCTTTATTAAGGTGTGCCGGAAACCTGAGATCTTCCAGCCACGGCGGTATTGTAACACGTTCCCTCTAATTATTATGCAGTATTACAGTCTTCCACAGTAGAAACAGTAATTCCATCATTAAAATTCAACCCTTGTTCTATAAAACTGTTCTACAGCACTTCTGGAAAGATTTTTTTAATAGGACTGTTGAACCAAAGAGATAACCAATGAGAAGCATTAAGCTTTACCACAACATTACCATTTATCACCTTTCCAAATGGGTACATTTTCTGTGAATTGTTAAATTTTAAAAGCAGAACTACAATAGAAATAACTGTCTTTATTCACCGTATGCAATTCTGGAAGGAAATACTTCAAATAATCCATGCTTCCATAAATCTGTGTGATAAGTTACAATTCCCAGCAACAGAGATATCTAATTCCTAATAAATTACTGAAATATCTGAATACATATCTCAGTTTTAAAATCTCTGGGGTAACAACTTAATTCTTCCAGGTAGCAACATTCTCAAAACATTTAGCATCTGAACAAATCAAAAACATTTGCTTTGAATAAATGCAGACTTTGAAAAACTAATTATGAAGTCAGGTACGAATCACTTGAAAACTGTATTTGTTTTTTTACCTCCTTAGTTCTACAATTTCATTAATATTTTTCAGAAAGGAAAACAAATTTTTGTTTCTATTTGCAACACAAGCACCATGCTACAGCTTTATATGCAAGCACATTAAAAGATAAAACTTAAAACATGATATTACCTGCATGATACCTGGTAGAATGGATATCCTGGTAGAGGAACAGAGTTTGAAAATCCAGGCTGACTCGACATTGCCTTCAGGTATCGTATCCACTTAAATCACTTCCATATTCCACATGCTAATTCCTTACCAAAAAAACATGCCTGTGTATCCATCTGTACATTTGTTCAGAGCTAACTAAAAAAGAAACCAACTACATAGTCACAGGTCTTGAAAATTCTGACTGCACTTTAAACTGCCTCCTCAGTAGTGAAATTCCTAAAAGCCAACACCCTCATGACATCACGAACTACAAAATCATAAACATGCAGTTGTTTCAGTGAAGCAAGGACAGCCTGTTGTTTTTGACTCGACATAAAATCCTACACCGCATTCTTCTTGAAAGCAGAGTGCCTTTCAGGCTGGAGAAAGGCAGAAAGACCTGCTGTCTTAAACAGCAGCTCTGCTTTGGCAGTCAGCCAGCAACCAGCAGAACTTATTGCCAATGCCGCAAATCCCTCCTATCAGCTAATGAAGATCAAGACTGCAGGTGAAACATGACTGTAGCCTATGACAAGAATTTCCTTGAAAACGCATAAGATCCATGACCTTGACCTTAATGACAAAATTGTTTTTCCCCATTTCAGTTAAATGCACAATACAGACTACTGTTTTATCAGCAACATGAAATCACATTACTGCACATTACAGCAGCTTGAAAATCATTCTGAATTTTTTCCTCTGCTAGAAAAGAACCATATCACACTATACCCACACCTATGGGTAGACTGGAGGGAAGGACAGGAGGTGGAATCTTAAGCCACTGTATTTAAGCTGTTTAACACAGAAACAAAATTATGTGCGTGCATTCTAGTAGTATTTTACTGCAACGTAAATAAACCAAAGAAATATCAAAAACAAGATCTCTTGTGATATTCAGTACACAGATAAGTTACATGAGAGTTTATTTTGTGCATGTCTTCCTCAGGAAAGGAAAAGACAACAGAAAAGCAGGAAGAAATGCGAGTAGCCACAGTACAGCCTAGAGACATGACTAATGTCAAATAATGTCAAAATGATTTCATATCAACACTAACCTTACAGTAAAGAATTTGTACAGTGCCCTCACACGAAGACTTATTTACGTTTTAGCAAAATATTAAATAGGATAGATTTAAAAATGTGTTTCATTATCCATGGTAACTGCACTGGAAAACATAAAAACATTGGATTTAACGCATGCACATCATGATATATTATTTATATTTTACCTCTCAGTTTTGGGAACAGACTAAATCAGTTTCACTTGGTTTATTACAAGTTGCTAGTAAATATCTCAGTCATTAAGATAACGGTACAAAACTTTGTGGCTACTCCAGGTAACTTCTAAAGACTGACTTAAAAGAATGGGAGCTTGTTCTTCTACCTTAATTTTCTCTTAAATTTAAGAGTAAAACTGATCCCAACAAGGTGTTTGGTTTCGTGTTCAAATTCACATGTAATCAACTATTATCAACTATATCAACTATTTTTTTTTATACTGTTTGACAACACTATGAGGTTTTATGTTGCCTAACTAGTATCTGTCAGGGTATTAAAAAAAAAAATTTATCTCCACATGAAGACCAAAAAAAAAAAAAAAGCAATCAATCTCTTTTGAGGATTTGGTCCTCAAAAAATTGGGAATGCTTATCAATTAGCTCTGTAAACTATCAAACACAGAGCTCAATCAAGTAATTGCCTGTTCCTGCTAGCTACAACATGGGGAATCCCAGGCCGTTTCACACAATAAACACAACGTGCACTTGTATGCAGACTACTGCGCAGATTCCACAGGCCACCGTGGCACCCAGAAAGCACTCATTTCCTAAGTCCCATAAAAATGCCTGAATATTACAACAAGAAGAAAAAGTTTGCCCAGAAAAGAAATTTACTTTACTAGCTGAACTGATATGATTAGAAAATAAACAAGCTTTCGGGCAAATAATTCTGCAGAAGTTTTTATACCTCTCCTGACTGTAAAGATAAAGCTTGAAAATGCAATTCAAGCACAAATGATGTTGTGATATCAGCTGAATTTTACAAACAGTCTTGAAAAAAAAATCTTTATAATCTCTCTCATGTACAGCATAGAGTGTTAATTCCAAAAACAACTACCCTCAAAAACCACACAGATAACCTCAATTAGACGGAATGGAATAGGTGATTTGGCCAGGCCCGGCAGGGTTTTTTCTTCCTCTCAGACGCGTACAACTTTTTGCTGTTACGGTAAACGCTGTTAGTTTTCATCCATGCTTCTATAGCTGTTTCTTGACGTATGGGACAGGGCCGTATCAGACATTCAGCTATGCTGCTGTGGCTGGACCTGACAAGTCATCTGGTGCATATGACCCTAACACAGGTAAATTTCCATCCTGTGTGTCTGCTCATTTTTTATTTGGTGCCTGCCTACACTGATAATCGCAGCATGTTAGAACCCCATTAACACATCTATCCAATAATTCTCACCACAGAATAATTCAGATTAGTGCCAGCCAGGATTTAGGGGGTTTCCATTGATTTGCTAGCTGAAGAGAACATTAGTGTTAAGTCATCAGACCAGAGGCTTACCAATGAGGAGTCTTAGGGTTGGAAATCAGTGAGATCACAATAGACAGACAAAACCTGAATTTAGGATGATCTTTACAGAGGCAGAACTCTTCATTTATAGTCATCGTACCAGTTCAGTGATTTGGAAACAGAAAGGGAACGTGTGGGTAACAGGGAGAGTGAGAGGAAGAGAAAATGTAGTAAGGACCAAAGAAAACACCACCACACAAGGATACATATCACTTATCTAGTGCCCCCTTAACTTCTTTCCACAAGCAAGCTTGATTATAACTACTTCTGGGATCCACATTTACCTGCCAAACACCATCACCAATAAAACAGACAAATGGGTTCAAATGGGTTTCATTCCAAATGCAGCCACGTTCATTTGAATTTTACTTCCGTGTTTTAGTGCCAAACAAACTCAGGGGGAAAAAAAAAGACACTAGTATTGTTTGGCATAGCAGACTGTGTACTACCTACTTCTTTATATGAAACAAAACCAAACAAAGAAAACAGGTTTGAGGCACAAATACTATGTGCTCTAGAATTCAAAATAACCTTAATAATTAAGTAACTGACCGGCTAGCCATCACGGCGTTTAATGCTGCTAGTCGAAAATATACTTAATACGGTAACTGAGGTGTAACTGCACTTTAAAGAGCTAGGCTAAAAGACGGAGAAGAGCAAGTTTTGGGACTTTTTGTTGTTTTTTTTTAAACACAGTAAAAAGCTCATGACAATTTCCAGGTATTTCAGACAAGTAACGTTATTGGTAAATTAATGGAAAATAGTTTAGACTAAAAAGGCGAATTGAAGGAGAAATATACTAGTCTTATTACTGGAATCTAAATTAACGTCTTCAAATCTGGAAGTAAAAGCAGTTACATTGTACACAGCTAGTGACGATATATCAAAATGCACATAAAATGCTAGCATCCACTTAAAAAAATAGAATGAAGTGTCATGAAGAAATTGTTAACACCAATACTATCAATCAGTAATTTGCTCCCATGCAAAATGCTGTACTCTGTATTTTCCCCACCTGCTAAGAAATGCATTACAGACATTAAAATAGATAGAAAAAAATATAGGAGATGTAGAAAAAAATATTACATGGAGTTTGAAAATAACAGCATTCTTTACAAAGAAAATATTACAAAGATAGTTGATATAATGAATTGTACTTAGAAGATGCAATGGAAAGCTTTTCCTTTCTGTACGAAACACAAGAATAGGGAAACATTCAACAAGACCGAAGAAGAATGGTGAATTCAAAACTGATAAAGGGCGCTATCACTGAGGCTCCCAAACTCATCCAGAATCAAAGACTAACTGGACATTTACACAGAAAATAAAATTATCTAGAAGTGACAATAGAAAAATATTCAAAGGAAAGAGAACTTGAGAACAAAATCGTCACACTTTGGTGAATACACTCACTGCTAACTATCAGAAATTAGGAGAAAACATCCATCTGAGAAAGCACTGTTAACATCCTGTTTTTGAAGGACTTTGCACTCCTCTGAGGCAGGCTACTGACTCAAAAACAATGCGTGGTCTTCTCCAGATTCCCGACTTCTTGTTCAAACAACTGAACTAAGATCTCTTTTTAGCCTGGTTTCCTAAGAAAATTGAAATGATAACTACCATATTTGGGGGAAGAATCCTATTTGAACAAACTTTCACTTTCTTCTGAATCTTATGATCAATTTTAGTTATTTTGACAGATGAGTGGAGATCTAAAAGATAAAGATCTCACAAATTTCCTGACAACAGACAGTAGGAAAAAAAAAAAAAGAAGAAATTATTGATCTTGTCAACAGAAAAACTATAGCCTGAACTCACCCTTCATTAAGCACCAAAAAAAGGACAGAAAGACGACTGGGAAAACCAATGCTCTGACCACAAAAAGCTTCCATAGAGTTTTAGACTGTGTTAGGCATCACAGAAAACAATTCTGAAACAAAACTGTTAGATAAACAGATGCAGAATCAGCAGGCTTATTGTTGTTTCCAGGTAGGTATATAGTTAAAAAAAAAAAGTAACCTCTAAAAGAAAACAGGCAACACATGAAGATGTTTGTATTTTAATTTCAATTAAACCAGATTCTTCAAAGCAAAAGACGCATTCACCTTTTACCTTCTCTCTTGGCCCCCTCCCAGGCTTTAAAATTTCCAGTTTACCTGCCCTCCTAATTCCCGGGGTTCTCTGTTTACATTCCAGTAGCTTTCAATTCCTCTAAGCCCTCTTACCCTCCTTCTCTCCACCTCCATGAACTATTTCCAGTAACAGGTCTTTAGTTAAGGCAGCTTTCTTAGCATATACATAGCACTATTCAGGTACCTCTACTTACAAGCTCGTTCAGCTTGACGGTTCATTTATCTAGCGGAGATATGGCTGCCTATTACCCACCCTAGTCCTCTATCAGCTTTACAACATTCCCAGTTAGAACTTTTAAAAAAAAAAAGTCAACTTTCTACAGTTAAAGAGCACATAACAGCCCTTAGGTAAGGGTGGCACACTTCACAAAGATACAAGAATTTCCCCAAAATGTCTCCATGTCTTCCCACCTTACTTCCGTGCCTCACAATCTGCAAAAGGGTTGCTTTGAAGCTACTTGCAACATGTGAAGTTTTTGAGAAAGGCACGTTTTGCAATATGAAATGCCAACGCACTCCTCTCTGCAACCATACAGGCTGGAATAGGAGAGGAAACTCCTTAAAGTAGAAGAAAGAGGGCCCTGAAGAGTAAACCGTCCAAAACTTAAAAGATTTTATTTCTATAAAGGATTAGTTCTTTGAGGGACAG